GATGAACTCAGCCACCACCACCGCCCCTGGGGGGACAATAACGGGGGACACCAGTGGGGACCACCAGGACACCAGTGGGGACCACTGGGACATCAAGGAGGGGCTCCGGGTGGGGTTTGGGAGGGATCCCAGGAATGGGACCACCGGGACACCAATGGGGGCCTGATGTTGCTTGGGGGGCTCTGGGTGGGGTTTGGGAGAGATCCCAGTGATGGGACCACCGGGACACCAATGGGGACCACCAGGACCAAACCACCTTCTCCTGGACCAAACCAGGTTCTCCAGGACTAAGTCAAGTTCTCCTGGACCAAACCAGGTTCTCCTGGACTAAACCAGGTTTTCCTGGATCAAATTAGGTTCTCTTTGATCAAACCACCTTCTCCTGGACCAAACCAGGTTCTCTTGGACCAAACCAGGTTCTCCAGGACCGAGCCAGGTTCTCCTGGATCAAATCAGGTTCTCCTGGATCAAACCACCTTTTCCATGCCCAAGGCAGGTTCTCCTGGACCAAACCAGGTTCTCCTGGGCCAAACCAGGTTCTCCTGGACCAAACCAGGTTCTCCTGGACCAAACCACCTTCTCCTGGATGAAACCAGGTTCTCCAGGACTAAACCAGGTTTTCCTGGATCAAATCAGGTCCTCTTGGAGCAAACCAGGTTCTCCTGGACCAAACCAGGTTCTCCTGGACCAAACCACCTTTTCCATGCCCAAGGCAGGTTCTCCTGGACCAAACCAGGTTCTCCAAGCCCAATCCACCTTCTCCGTGCCCGAGGCAGCTCCTGGGTGCCCCGAGTGCCCCCGTGGCGGCCCCAAATCCCGGGAATTCCATTTCCCCCGGGAATTCTGTGCTGACCTTCGCAGGTGAGCTTGGTGGAGGCGAGGCCGAGGCGGAGCACGGAGCGGTTCCCGATGAGGCCGTTCTTCAGGTTCCGGACCCCCTCGTTCCCGATGGGATTGTGGCCCAGGTTCAGCGTCTCCAGGCTCTGCGTGTGGGGCTGAGGGAGCCACAGGGAAAACAGCCGGATCAGCACCGGGATCGACTCATGAAAGGGGATCCGGAGGGAAAAACAGTGGGATCAGCACCGGGATCCACCCAGGGAAGGGGATCCGGAGGGAAAAACAGCGGGATCAACCCCAGGATTGATCCATGGAAGGGGATCCAGAGGGAAAACCAGTGGGATCAACCCATTTAAGGGGATGCAGAGGGAAAACCAGCAGGATCAACCTCTGGATTGACCCAGAGAAGAGGATCCGGAGGGAAAACCAGTGGGATCAACCCCAGGATTGACCCATGGAAGGGGATCCAAAGGGAAAACCAGTGGGATCAACCCCTGGATTGACCCATGGAGCCATGGAAAGGGATCCAGAGGGAAAAACTCTGGGATTAACTCCAGGAGCTATGGAAGGGGTTCCAGAGGGAAAAACAGTGGGATCAACCCTTGGATTGACTCCTGGAGCCATGGAAAGGGATCCAGAGGGAAAAACTCCGGGATTAACTCCAGGAGCTATGGAAGGGGTTCCAGAGGGAAAACCAGCGGGATCAATCCCAGGATTGCCCCTGGAAGGGGACAAATGCCGGGTGGGAAGCGATGGGAATGTTGTGCCACCCTCCTCATCCCTCCTTTGCCCCGATCCCAGCCCCGGGAGCGGCGGGAAATCCCGGGAATGCTCACCAGGGTCATTCCCAGATAGGCCATCCCGGTGTGGGTGAGTTGGTTGTTCCAGAGCACCAGGGTGAGCAGCCCCTTCCTCTGCTCCTTCAGCCCCTCGCAGATGTAGGCCAGGCCTGGGAAAACACAGCCCGGGAATCAGGCAATCCGCCGGGAATCCGCCGGGAATCCGCCGGGAATCCATCGGGAATCCGACGGGAATCGGCCCCGGCGACATTCCCAAAAATCCAGCCTGGCTCCTCCTCCCTGTGCCCTCTTGGGAGGGAAAATTAATTAGTGGTGGGGGTGGAAAATTAATTGGAGTCATTTGGAGAAGGGAAGAAACCCCCGGGAAGGAGCCGGAGGAGGAGTGGGAATGTTGGGAAGTTGGGATCGGCCGGGAGCTGGACTGGGATTGAGGGGCTGGAGATGGATCCTCCACCATTCCCCGGACATTCCCAGGTCATTCCTGCCTGGATTGAGGGGCTGGAGATGGATCCTCTGCTCCAAACCCCTTCCCAGACATTCCCTGTTGCTCCAGGTTGGGATCATTCCCCCATTCCAGGAGTGGCTGACATTGGATTTGGCCTCTCCAGGGAAAAGGGAGGATTCAAATCCCACCAGGAAGGATCCAATTCCACATTCCCACCCCGCAGGAAAACACCCCAACCCCTTCCCAATAAAACCTCCCTTCCAAACCCAGCAGGTTTTTTTTCCCCTTCCCAATCCATTCCCTCTTCCCTCCCTTCCTCCCTCCTCAATCCGGGCTGGGAATGGATTCCCTGGGAATTGCTGACCGGAGTCGAGGACGTGGTTGTTCCGGAGGTCGAGGATGTGGATGGAGCAGTTGAACTTGAGGAGGTTCCCGAGCTGGGCCGAGTCCTGCAGCCCGTTGAGTTTGTTGTCGGCCAGGTAAAGCTCCCGCAGCGTCATGTTCATCTTCAGAGCCGTGGCTGAAACACAGGGAACGGGAAAAAAAACATGGAAAAAACAGCCGGGAAAAGGAGAGGGGTGTCCCAAAATTCCAGCTGTGCCCCGCAATTCCAGCTGTGTCCCAAAATTCCAGCTGTCCCCCAATTCCAGCTGTGTCTCAAAATTCCAGCTGTCCCCCAATTCCAGCTGTGTCCCACATTTCCAGCTGTCCCCCAATTCCAGCTGTGTCTCAAAATTCCAGTTGTCCCAAAATTCCAGTTGTGTCCCGCAATTCCACTGTGTCCCACAATTCCAGCTGTGTCCCACAATTCCAGCTGTGTCCCTCAATTCCAGTTGTGTCCCACAATTCCAGTTGTGTCCCATAATTCCAGCTGTGTCTCACAATTCCAGCTGTCCCAAATTCCAGCTGTGTCCCACAGTTCCAGCTGTGCCCTGCAATTCCAGCTGTGTCCCACAGTTCCAGCTGTGTCCCTCAATTCCAGATGTTTCCCACAATTCCAGATGTTTCCCACAATTCCAGATGTCCCAAAATTCCAGCTGTGTCCCACAATTCCAGCTGAGTCCCACACTTCCAGCTGTATCCCACAATTCCAGTTGTGTCCTGCAATTCCAGCTGTATCCCATAGTTCCAGCTGTGTCCCTCAATTCCAGCTGTGTCCCACAATTCCAGATGTGTCCCTCAATTCCAGTTGTGTCCCAAAATTCCAGTTGTGTCCCATAATTCCAGCTGTGTCCCACAATTCCAGCTGTCCCAAATTCCAGCTGTGTCTCACAGTTCCAGCTGTGCCCTGCAATTCCAGCTGTGTCCCACAGTTCCAGCTGTGTCCCTCAATTCCAGATGTTTCCCACAATTCCAGATGTTTCCCACAATTCCAGATGTCCCAAAATTCCAGCTGTGTCCCACAATTCCAGCTGAGTCCCACACTTCCAGCTGTATCCCACAATTCCAGTTGTGTCCTGCAATTCCAGCTGTATCCCACAGTTCCAGCTGTGTTCCTCAATTCCAGCTGTGTCCCATAATTCCAGCTGTGTCCCGCAATTCCAAATGTGACAACCAAAATCCCACCCGGAACAACCAAACTCCAATAATTCCCAGTAAAACCCATTCCCGCCGACTCAGGAATGGTGCCCCCGGATCCCAGGGAATCCGGGAATTCC